CACCTAACGCTTTATTCTTAAATCGCGGTTCCGCATTTTTTCTTTTTAATCTCGATAGTGAATGCTTTAATTTTCAGTTTACTTAAGGATTCGTAAGGTCACTTCTTTTGTTTGTTGGCCTCTTTCTTTGTCTTCAAACGCAGTGTACACACGATTTTCATTGTTAACCTTCATATCTTCAATTTATTAGGCACCAATTCAAGTTAATTTTCTAAATTGGATGAGTTCTTATTATTTAAGATCTCTAAAGTGATCAATATCCACTGTATGAAAAACGCTTGTAGACCCTTTTTCAGTTGCGGCCTCAGTTTCAGTTTGCGAGAGAAAACCGCTATTATACCCCATTCTGTCACTACATATAAACAGAAAAAGGCGAGCCAACATTTTTTCACGTCCACTTCATTCTTGGAAGGGTAATAAATGGACGTTTGGTTTTCCTTTGGCGTGTGTCAGAACAGGAATTCTGGATATTCGAAAGTGGCGAAAACAATCCTGTGAGCTGGATGTTAATTTTTCACGACCTTGTGTGTATCGATTTTGTCAAAGAGTTTTATCGAATGTTGTTGTTATTTTTTTATCAGCTAGCGGCAAAACTTGCGTCTATTATTTTAGCTGCTGCTCAATCGATCTTCTTTTTGGGCGTCTGGATCTCAGTCCACACATCATTACCCGTGATAAATTAGCAGGTGGAAGGGTCATATCCTTTGGGACGAACTGTTCATCAGCTGATGGACTCTTGGGTATCGTTCGGGGCTGTTTCGCTATTAAGAATAAGGCGGAGTTTTCGAAAAAATCGAGATAAATTACAATAGAAGAGCCAACAGAACAAACTACATACATTGTAAAGAGAACATGTGTTGAAGATGTGTGGGATAATTTGGAAGGGAACTTGAAGCTTTGATAACTGTTTTGGACAATTCAATTGGTTTTTTATTATTGCAACATATAAAACCACAAAGTTTGTTATCGGTATTTTTAGTCAGCGTTTCGAGGAAGCAATTAAGATCAGACCATCAGATGGATCATCTTTAAATTAGTTAAGCCTTTTAAAGTATCTATTATTGAAGCACTGAACGTACTTCCCTTAAAATTTTAATTTTTAAAACCATTTCCATTCATCCATCCAACCGAATTGCTTTAAAGTGTCAAAGGCCACTTAAAAAATGCACAAATTTACCACAAAATGTGACAAACAAAGATCTTTTCGCCTGAGTCTCTTTCATGTCTATCGGTCTATCAACAGATTTTTGTTAATTTTTGGCGCATTACTCGCACTTACTAAGTATAGTAACACAGAAACTCATATTAATCTGCAGTTTGTTTCGATATTTTTTTAAATCTAATGCTTTGTTTTTTGGTCGCTCCTAATTAGATTTTTATTTGGAAAATCGACCAATCCTGCTGACAAAAATGAGAAAATTTCGCAATGTATACGATACAATGGATGGCGATGTAAGCGGCTTTTTCAAACGTAATTTAACAAGTAAGTTGCTTAATCCTTAACACAAGAATTAAGTATATTATTTTCAATTGCACTGAAAGAAACTAATAAAAAATATGAATCAATATCAAAACCAGCTCAGTGTTAGGCAAATGTAAATTTCGTCAGTTCCGGAACACTAACATAAACACACTGAGCTATCATCATGTGGAATTAAAACTGGTCCAAAGGCCACTATTTACGTTTTTCCGGAAAATGTATGATTCTATGAACATTTTCGTCAAAAAAAAACGCCGGTCAGAAAAACTAATTTCCCGATGTTATTTACGTTCAGTCTGTCCGCCATTTTCGTCTATGGGACATAAATCATCATTTCCCTCAAAATAAATGGCATATTTTGTCTGTGTTTGTTTTTTTTGTCGACGAGCTTTCCGTGTATTTTCCCGAGTTTTTAAAATGAGCCGACAAAGATACATGCAGTGTACTGGGGTTTTGTTGTTTTTGCGATTTTCCATACCGGAGATATGCGAAGAGATAATGTGTTTTGTTTATCGCTGTGCAAGTTGTGATAAGGGCCATGTGTGAATTTTCAGGAAATTGGGTTTACGTTTGATCCATCATTCGAATTTCAACGTTAATGTTCTGCCAGTTTCCGCTAAAAACTTCACCCAAATTATAAACGCACTAGACACACTACACATGCATCATTTCCGTAAATAGTACAAAGTGTTGTGTTTATTCATTTTGAGTAAACGTTGTTGCCTGAGGATTTTTTTTAAACGAGAACTTGTTAATAATTTAGAAAAGCGTCCCATACGCTAACTTAAGTAATTGGCTATTTTCTACGATAAGTAAAATATATGTTTTTCACACCTTGGCTTATTACATATATTATATGACTCAGGTAATATCGTACCGGTAGCTCGTAAACTTATATGATTGAGTCTTATTAAATTTTTTACACATTTTATGTATAATATACAGTAGCATATAAATCTTCACCATACTAGGCAGTAAAATGTCTTAACGATACAAGTAATGAAGGTTTTATATGAACAAAAATTGCTTAACATGCTTTACGGCCCGAACAATGTTTGTTCCTCATAACCACTGATGTGCCCGAGTATGGTTTACAAGCCATGGCATTATTTATTTTCAAGATGCATTAAAAGATAAAATCGCAATTTTGTGGTTATAGTGCAGTTTTATTGTCTAGTGCACAATGTTATTTAGTCAGTTGCAAATTGGTGGTAGATACACTATTTGCTAGTTCTTTATTTTGTATAATTTGTGTTATTTATTTTTATAATTGTTGCTAACGAATAAGTTTTGTCTTACAGTTACTTTTCACGCAATTTTTTTATTGTTTTGCTAATTTTAAGAAAATTTACTCCACCATCAGGGATGTAGTCGGTTAGATACTGTGACTGTGATGAATTCTTTTACTATGGATTGAGTGTGTATTTCAATGAACTGGTTACGTTCTCTATTATTATAGAATTTTAAGTATTTTACGATTTTTCTTCCAAAAATCTACTTTGTACATGTATGTTTTTTTGAGCTGAATACCTAGGAACATTCTACAGAAACTCAAATATAGTCAGAGCAAAATGCAATATACAAAATAGAGATTTAAATAACTTTGAATGAGTAAATGTTTGAAATAAACTGCACAATCAGAAGCTAGTAGGTTTGCTTCAATTGAGAAAAAAATCGGGTTTTGGCCAATTTTTTAATCGCAAAATTGGGCTCTAACAAAAATCTTATTTTCCACTTTTAAAATTTTATAAGCTGCAAGTTTTGAAATAATTAAACTTATACTACTTTTTGTAAATCTATCGCTATTACGTTGGCGATGCTGTTTTTAATTAACGTTTTGTCTTCAGCTGCGTGCATAGTTTTTACTATTAGAAGCTGAAGCAGTAGACCCACTAAAAAAACTGCGTATTTTAAAATAATTTTTCAGTTGAATTCGGAAACTTGATGAAACAGTGCTGATAAACAGACCGGGCTTATATTAACGAGAAATTCGAAATCGGTCGAAGATCTAGAAAAATCAAGCAAAACATACGCGGCTCATTAACTTAAACGTGTGAAAAGGGCAGATAATTGCATATCAGTGCAGACAAAATCTAAAACGATGGGGCATAAATTAAATGGATGTCGTGGCGGTACGTGGTCGATAAGCGCTTGTAAACACGAAGATCGGCCAGATAAGGCCACTTCGGCAGCCACGCCATGCTTTATTCCACCTATCAGGTGCCAGTTTTAGCATTACTGGACTGTATTTCTTGGTTCGGGTATTTAATCTTCTTCTTAAAGCATACAGTTGAAGATTGGTCGGATTACGAAGAACCACTGAGCTTGAATGAATTCATTTAATTGCACTGAATAATAGGCATTTGGGACACAGGGTGCCCTAAGAAAATATTGGCATTTTGTGAGACACAAGATGTTCTTTTTATAAAAAAAGCCATATTTTAGATGCCATTTGAGATAGGGATTTGTCTTGCAAAATATCATGTGGAACCCCACTGACCTGCAACATGTAACCCAAATATCACTGGGGTTATTTATGAGCAGTCTTTTCGGCATTTTATTCCTTTAAATCAAAAATGGGATATTTTTAAGTCAAGAACTATTCACGTTCCCTCCAACATTCGAACAAATTGAAAGTTCTTTTTAAATTAGAAACACCAATAACAAATTTTTTAAATTGTAATTTAGTAATCGTATAATTATCAATTTGCAATAAAGGCTTAAAAACATAGCATTCGAAAAAGAGAGGTTGGATATCACAAGAGCTTCTCTGAAATTGCATTAACAAGATGAATGAATCGAAAAAATAACAAAAGAATGAATAACTTTCAAAAGTGTTGGCTTATTATCAAAGAGTTAGACTTTATTGCCCATTCCTTGTAACTGGTGTTTTTTTTTCGGGCTTTCTTCACGCTTTTCTTTCGAGCTTTACAAGTGCATTAAACAATCCGAGGTGTTTTTGCTTCAAAAGCGTGTGACATTAGTTAACATATCAAACACCTTTGAGGGTGTAAATAATTCATCCATTCGTACGTTAGGAAGAAATATTTTAAATTGGTTTGTTGTTTCAAAACTCCTTCTAGTTGTGAAAAATGTTTCCATCTGTATACACACCTTATTAAAATGTGCAATTTTCGATCAAAATTGGTGCACTTAAGTCCAGTGTAATTACAGGAGGGTTCAATTTGATTTAATAGCCGATAACATGTGCTTGCAAGGTGCGAAAGATTAACACAAGCTCACAGAAATAATTGGCCACAGGTTCGTGTCATCTTCAAGATTAGCAGTCGTTGGATCAATGTATTGAAAATTCAAGTCATTCAATCAAGCTTTTATCAAGTGAATATTTAAGATTTTGCTTTTGAGTTTTAGTTCCGTTCAGTTATGGATGAAAAACCCAAACTGAATGAAAGGCAGGAAAAATACAGAAAACTTGACTAAACGAATCGATCTAGTTTGAAATTTAGATGAACATGTTGTAGTTATCCACATCATGCAGTATACGTTTTTGTTGTTTCAGACATCTTCGACGAGAAGCCAAGACCTGAAGACGTCGCGTTCATAACAGCCATAAAAATTCATGATATCACAGCCTCCATCAATTCCGACTCGATAGCAACAAAGAGATTTTGAGACAGATATCGCGTTTTACATTCACGAACCGGCCATCGTGCTTTCATCGATAAACTCGAGCCGTTTTTTCCAAGAAACATGGAGAGAAACGAGCAGGATACGTTATAATATACGAAACGGGTGATTTTTTTTCGGAAGAAAAGAACAAAAACTGATAGTGAAGGTTCTAAGAGAATGTCTTGCGAGTTTCGGTAGTAAAAATTGGATTTGGAATCATGTCGGTGCTTAATGTGGCAGCATTTGTGTTGATAAGTACTTATTGGAATGCTGGATTGGCTGCAGCGTATGGGGATAATGGTAAGTCAGAAAAATTGATATTTTTTAGTAGTTTCTTCTCTAGGTAATTCTGCGATGTTACTTCACTTCGCTTTAATAAAATCTAGTTTAGAAAGCCTTTGGCAGTTAGAATCGTCTTCTTCCATTCAATTTATTTCCGCTTTGTTTGGATTTCGAAATGTTACCAAATACTTACAGATCGTTTCAAGGAGACCTAAAGCTGAAAATAATCTCAGAAATAGATTATCTTTGTTTCCAATCTCTAAAATCCAACCGAAACGTTGAAACTACCAAACTGAAGTGCTGATAACACTGCAGTTTATAAGAATGTTTCTGCCTGAAACGCTGAAACTTTGTTCAACCTTCTCTGTCAATTATTTATATCTTAATCGAAATTTATTAGAATAACGAAAATTTTATTTAATCGATAATGTACACACCAGAATTGCTAAATACATTTACTTGGGGAAAAATTAACATTCAGTCGGGATCCTAAAAACAATCGCTCCACTTTTAACGAGAATATTTAATTTATCGTTAATTATTTCTGAGTAAACGCTCTGCATTCATTCAAAAAGGGCGTTAATAACGTTTGATTCGGCGTTTAACTTGGGATTCCAATGAATACTTAATATTAGAGAGCTTCTGCGCCAGATATAACGGAAAGTTCCTGTAATCATTCAATGAAATGTTGATCGCTTTTATGCGGAGATCAATAGCGAGGCAAATATTTATTTAATTAGTAAATTTAGCTTTAACACTGCCAATTAGAACTTTCATAAAGAAAACTATAATATTTTAATTAAAATTTTTTCAGGTATTTGCTTATTTTACATATTAAAACCGAAATTTTTGAATAATATTGCATAAGTGTGTTGGTTTTCCTGTTTGAAACAAGCGTTTACAAGTTTACAAGCGCTACCGAATTTAATTGTTTCATAAAGTACTCTCAAGTCATCAAAAAAATACATTTTTAAACATAAATCGGAGCTCTCAACTAGTTGGAAAAGCAAGTTTTCATGTCAAAAATGTTTTGGTAGAATTTGTTAATTTTTGCTATGAAATAAATGGTTTGTGAAAATTTTCCTACCAACCGCAAATGTGCAAATGTTGCTTAAAGTCAGTGGAACTGTTTTAAAAGTATTGATTTCTCTTGAAATCTTGAAAACTTGAAAGTGTTTTCAAGCAATACCGAATTTTATAAAGGATGCTTTCTTATCAGAAAAATTATTTTTTTAAAACTCAAATAGCAACTTAGAACAGGTAGTTGTATCGATTAGTAAAATTTCGTCTTTTGAAGCAAAAATGTTTGAGGTTTCGCTCATTTTATCTGTTAAATCAATGATTTTTGAATTGTTTTTCTGAAAGTTCAAATGTTGCTAAACGCTACTTGTAAGTGTCAGTTTCCCCACTTCAAAGTGTTTACAAACGCCACCGGTTTCTTTAAAAAAATCTAAATTTACGGAGTACGTCGATAGTGATTCTCTATTCAAGTTTGGTCTTGCTCGAATGCCTTATTTAACCATCTAACAATTGCCTCATTTATCCGAGAACATTATAAGATTTTAAAAGGCGTTTGTTTAAGTTAAGTTCTCTTAATTATTCAATTCGATTTGAAATTCAAATTTTCTGTGGAATCGATAATGAAGCGGAGCGTAAAAAACGATTTCCGTTGTCTAATGGTACACAACTCCATTTGTAGCAAGTAAATCGAGAACTTCAATTTTAAATACGAGCACGGTTTTGTTAGTTTTAAAACCGTTTTTCCTAATTACTGAGAACGCATGATTAAACATATGCACGGGTGCTGCATATTTGTATGCGAAATTATATTGTGGAATGCGAATGAATGCATATCATTGATCGAATATATTTATCTTTATACTGCATCACCAGAGGCAATAAATATAAATTAACTGAAACATTTTAAAATAACTCAAACTCCAACTTTCACAAAGCCGCGTTTACGTTGTAAGATTGCAAAAAAACTCATAGAAACTTGGAAACCACACATGCATACTTAACACGGCGGGTGCAATGAAAAGTTAAACGTCGGAAAGTAATTTCACAACTGTAGGTCCTTTCCCGAGTTACTCCATAGTTTTCCTGCTGCACATTTGCAGTTTCTTTCAATTTACTACGAAAACTAATTTCAAACAGCAAATTGCCGAACGTCTTTGGTGAAAACAACCACTCGAACTCAAATCTACCAGGCTGAATCTGAAAGTATTCGCATACAAAGATTAGTAGGGATTATTGGACAATCGTAAAGTTTTAATAAGTTGGCTGTATTTGATTTACATGCCTTTTGGGTCGTTTAATTGTCACATTAACTGCGGGCTAAACTGAAAAATTAGTTCAGACTAAACCCTTAAAAACATTTTTTTGTTATTAAATTTTGAAACCGCATTATTATTCATCAATGTTTCTAAACCCAAATCAACTGCCTTAAGGATCATTTCAAATGAATGAAAATAATTTCAAAGTTTCAACAATTATGATTTAAGTAAAAAATTATTACAGCTTCCCCGGTATTTTTCAAGTTGTCAGGAAAATCAACAAATGTGCTTTGGGAGTGGAAAACTAGTTAAACAACAGTAGTTATTTACTCTGCTGTCTTCACTGGAAAAACTATTTGTAGAAAGAAACGCGGTATTTAGTGCTCAATTTAATATACAGTTTCCACCACTGTGCACACATATACTTTACCGTGTTAAATTTTGTAAGACGGATTGGGACAAGTTGGTAGAAATGTTGTCTTTGTGCATGAAAAATTCCGCTCTAGTGCCCGTTCAATAAATCTTCTTACGTCCATTTACAACCAAAACGGATTTTAAACAGATAAATCTAAACCTGCTCAACATTTATCATTCAACTACTTAAATAATTATAAACTGCCTCTCAGACTTGGACGCTATAACTTCCATGCAGACTTTACTTGGAGCAATAAAAAATCATAAAAGTGCCCTTCTAAGACACTTACTCTACGAAATGCCAGGAATTGAAATTCCCTAGCAGACATTGCCGTAGTATTTCCTTGGAATAGCGCGACAGAGCATTATAGAGGAAATTCTTAGTGTTATGGAAAATATTTACGAGATTCTCTCTGGCGGATTTTCACCGATTTTCTGCCGGAAAGGTGGACGAGAATAAAGTCGGCTAGAGACTAGTTCAGCGTCAGATTTTTTAGTAAAGATGTTTAGCATTTTTAGGAATACTTTGAAATTATGTATGTGAGGTGAGAGCAGACTGTTTACTTTGTAAACAAAGTTTGATTGTTGCAACAATGGTTCCAAAAGCGTCAAAAATATTAAATTTTAAAACGCAAATCGGAACTTATTATTTGGTTTATGCGGCATATAAAAATATCAGGTGATTTAAATATAGGTGCGTAAAACTAGAAAAAAAATTGAATTGAAAATTATAAAAAATAAACCTCGCGCATTTCTTACCGACTAACCATCTGGATTGGTAAAAATATTATAGACATTAAGCTTTGGCTTAATTATGGAAAAAAATATTCTATCAATCTTAGTTATTTATTATTCAATTTATCCCCAACTAGATTTGCTCATCTAACTTTCTATTTGCCGGCGTATAAGCGATTTTTAAAGTTAAATTGAGGGTCAGGCACGTGCCAATAGATCCTCTTAGAACAGTAATTGGGAAAAAGCTTCTTAGGCAAATTGGAAGGAAGTGGCCCTTTTCCAACCCAAATATTAGTTCAGGCCCAGCACAATGTATCATGAATAAAAGTCTGATCCCCAATTTTAGACCACTTCCTTCTCAAATTGCCGGTTTTTTCCCAAAGTATCAATGGATAGGAGCTGTACAAAAAAACACTCAAACTGGTACTTAACATAGTCATTTTTTGTCGACTCTGCTTACTGCTTTTTTGATGCATCATTTCATAAAACATCACTACTCATAATTCTTTACTCTATGACTCCCCCTTGTTTTTTCTAGACGTGGGCTCCAAAGCAAATTGATAAATGGAATAACAACTTTGTTTTCTCATGACGAAAGGCGCAAGCGATTAGAATAATAGAACAACACCCCACCAACATTATCGTATCTTTTATTTCCGATTTTTTCAATTTTACCGGTCGTAAGTAAGAAAGGTTTTAGTGCGTGCCACAACAAAGGCAAATGGCATTATCGGGAATGATCCTCTTTGTCGCCCTTTCAAAGAAATAATATGGGCACATGAGCGAAAACGTCGGCTCATAAAAAATATATCACAAGAACGTAATGTGGAAAATATCTGGGCAATTTGGGGTTGAGGATTTGCTGCTCTCTAAGTCATTCGAATAAAGTAAGATTTTGTATGATCTGAAATTTATTGGCTGGAATTAGTAGGAATATAGAGTTTGGCTTGTACAGTTAAACATGCACATGAAAAATAATTTAAACTGGAATTATGTTTTAATGCCAACGCCATACATTAATAATAATTTGCTTCGTAGCAATTAAATTCTAGATTTTTATGTATTTCGAGCCTTGTTAAAGCTTAATTAAATTCATGGGAATATGCCGAGCAATGCGCGTTCAACTATTCAACTAAAATTGTAGAAATTACCTTTGCCTTATTTATGTCTAGACAAATTTCGAATTTTTAGTTTAGCTGCGTTGTATTGCGGATATGAATATTTTATGTTGCGAGCAAATACATTGAAAATGTTGTACGAGGTGAGATCGATCACTTGTTGCCCGATTTGATGCCTTAAATCCGTTACAAGTATTAAAAAATTGGTTCACTCGAGTACGTTTCGCCTTCCGATAACGTTCCTACAATGATAAATAGCTGTCGGCTTTGTTTGCACGGATAATACAAGAATGGGGCGAATTTTTTCGCACCCGCGTTCCGATGCGAAAAAGACGATTTTTTACGAAAGTTTTTCCCAATTCGAACACCGATAGAGAGAGAGTAATTAGTTTTCCAGATAAAGAGGAAAGTTTCCGTCGAAAAGTAAATTTGCAAAGAAGCATTAATTGAAAATCGAACATGATAAATGGGCAGC